GAACCTGTAGTCCCAGCTCCTCGGGAGGTTGAGGCAAGAGAATTACTTGAACCCAGGAGGCGTAGGTTGCAGTGAGCTGAGATCGCACCATTCACTGCACTTCTGCCTGGGCAACAGAGTGAGACTCCATCTCAAGTAATAATAATAATAATAATAATAATAATAATAATAATAATAAAATCAACCAGTGCTCATGTTGTCTGAAACTAGGCCCAGTCCAGAAGGGCAAGGCTTGCAAAAGAGGAAGGAGGAATCGCCGAGCAGCAAACCAAAGCCAGGCCTGTGTCTTGAGAGGGCCTCTCACCAAGGGAAGGTATAACTGCCCCTTTTCCTGGCCTGTCCTGCTCTACAGGCATTTGAAACAAAATGTGGACTTTAGGAGGCTGCCTGGGAGGAAGGGGACCCTGGGTGGGGCCATCCCTGCGGATCAGGAAAGGGCAGGATCATAGGATGGCTCCTGTGATTTGTGAGAGTCCTAAACAGCGCAGACTGTGCAAGAGAGTTTGAGGGAAGAGTTACCCAGTTGGTCCTCAGATTCCTACTCAAGGTGGCAGGTGGGGAAGATCTGGATTCACATCCTGTCACTACTGTGGACCAGCTGACCCGAGGAGCCTTGGGGCGAGCCTCTGGGTCCATATATATTTCACCTTGGGCTGTGGTAAGGATTAAATGAGGAAACAGATGCAATGCACCTACCATTGTTCCGAGCACACAATAGGTGCTCAATAAATAGTGAGCACCTATCAGTGGATAAAACCACTAGGTGGATACCTAATCCAAGGTGATAGGGAACCACCTAGGAAAGAGGGTCCCAAATCCTACAGGACAGCCACCTGTGGCACCTCAAATCAGGAGCACAAAGTGACAGGCAAGGAGCTTCCCATTGCTGCTGCTTGGTGGGTGGGATAGATTGTCCTAGACAAAGGATCTACACCTTCAGCCCTGTATTCTAGGATGTGAACCACACACCCATATCCTGCTGCCCTGCCTATCTGTGTCACGGCAACTCCCCTTAACCTCCAGGGAACCAGGAGGAGTGTCCTGGGGTCCACTGGGCCTGTGGCCGTGGCCATGAGTGGGGAGAGAGGAGCATGGGGTGGGAAGGCTGTAAAAGATGTAAATGGTGTGGTGTGGAGCACGGCTCCAGCTGTCTAGCACTCCCTGGAGCTGGCAGGAGTCCAGGGAAGGGGCCCCAGACTCAGGGCGCCTTTTGTTCCAGGGCTTGGCTATGTAAAAGGTGGGGGAAGGGGCAAGAATTCACGGAACTTGTCCATTCATTGGAGCCCCCGCTGCCAGCAGGTGCGAGAAGGAGGGAGGGAATGAGGGACTTGGGCTGGAAGGTTTAGATATGAGAATGGCAGCTCAGCATGCAGTGGATGACAAACAGATTCCTCAGCTTCCATCCTCCAGGGCTGTGAACATTCAAGCCAGCCAGACCCCAGCCTGCTTAGAATGTGCCACGAACTGTTTCCTCTAGCCCCCAATTGGCGTTCCAAACCCCCATCTCTCTTGTCCCCAAATTCCCATTTTCTATACTCTGCCAAAACACCCTGCTTCCCCAGGACCACTTCCATTGCTGTCGGATTTTCTGAGGTTTTGTTTCTTTCTTTCTTTCTTTCTTTTCTGTTCCTCTTTGGCTGCTTGGGGCTCACAGCTTCCAGGGCCTTCTCCAAAGCACTGTATTCCAGCACTAGATGCTGCTTGGGCATATCAGTTGAGATCCCAGATAAATCAGTATGGGGAGGACTTGGAATCACACAAACGTGGGTCCGAACCCTGCTTGCCCTTCCCAGCTGGATAAACTCCAGGCAAGTTACTAACCTTTCAGAGCCGCATTCTTTAGGTAAAATGAGGATAACATTTGTTCCCACTTCTCAGAGTTTTTGTACACATTAAATGCTGAGTTGATGTCTAGAAAGCTCTTTGCACAATGCCTGGCACAGAACAGGCGCTCAATGGACAATAAGCATAGGAAAATAAGGCAGAAAGCCCCTGCAGTGTTTTCATTTGTATTTCCTTGTTGCTAAATAAATTAATCTTTTTAATGTATGCTTATTAGGTATGTATATTTCTTTCCTCTTTTTTCTTTTTTTTTTTTCTTTTTTTCTTTTGAAACAGGGTCTCACTCTGTTGCCCAGGCTGGAGTACAGTCGTGCAATCATGGGTCACTGCAGCTTCCAACTCCTGGGATCAAACAATCCTCCTGCCTCAGCCTCCTGAGTAGCTGGGACTCCTGAGTAGACAGGGGTCCCACTATGTTGCCCAGGTGTTCTCAAACTTTTGGGCTCAAGAGATCCTCCTGCCTTGGCCTCCCAAAGTGCTGGGGTAACAGTCATGATCCACCGTGCCCGGCCTATTTATAGTTCTTATTTCTTACATAAATTACCTGTGTTCATCTCTTGGTGGGACAGCTTTATACATTTTGTAATTCTTTGTCATATACGATTTGCAATTTTTCTCTCTTGGTTTGTCACTTGCTTTTGACTTTTTGGTGTCTTTCAACATACAAAGTCTCTTTTTCCTTCTATATACCATATTCCCAAATCTGCATTAGTTTCTCATTTTCCACAACATCCTCTCACAGATGGACCACAGGCGCTGTTCCTATATAGGCTGATTTTCTCAGCATTTTGGGGTCCACACTGACCCTCGCCTTGACCAGTGCACTACCCAGGACTTTATTAGGCCCTCCATTGTTCCCCAGATGTGGGAAACCTGCAGCCAGGGCTGTTTGAATCATGTAGTATTTTAGTTTTATCCCAAAATGCACACACTCCCCCCTACTGGTTTCTGGAAGGATCACACTCTTTCCCGCCCCCCCCCCCCCAACTGATTTGTTTATTTGGGGAAACTCTAAAATCTGATTAAGAAATCAGTGTCTGAATGAGAATGTATTTATTTATTTATTATTAGTTTTTTGAGATGGGGTCTCACGCTGTCTCCCAGGCTGGAGTGCAGTGGCAAGATCTCAACTCACTGCAACCTCCACCTCCCAGGCTCAAGCCATCCTCCTGCCTCAGCCTCCTGAGTAGCTGGGACCATAGGCATGCGCCACCACGCCCAGCTAATTTTTGTGTTTTTGGTAGAGACAGGGTCTCGCCATGTTCCGTACGCTGGTCTCAAACTACCGGGCTCAAGTGAGCATCCTGTCTTGGCCTCCCAAAGTGCTGGGATTACAGGCTTGAGCTACCACACCCGGCCTGAATGAGAATTTAAATGTCCCCCATTAACCCTCACTTTGGGGCCCAGGACTGCCTCAGGCTGTCCATATCTCAACATCTCAGCCAGCTGCCAGACAGACTGGCCATAAGATGCATTTCTGAGAAGTATATGTAAATCTTACTTGATGAATTCCATTTTAATGCTGTAAGAGAGATTAAAATTAAAATTAATGTCTTTAATTCTTTTTTTTTTTTTTTTTTTTTTGAGGTGGAGTCTCACTCTGTCACCCAGGCTGGAGTGCAGTGGTGCCATCTCAGCTCACTGCAACATCTGCCTCTGGGGTTCAAGCGATTCTCCTGCCTCAGCCTCCCAAGTAGCTGGGAATACAGGCGCCCGCCACCTCGCCTGGCTAATTTTTTGTACTTTTAGTAGAGATGAGGTTTCACCATATTGGTCAGGCTGGTCTCGAACTCCTGACCTCGTGATCCACCTGCCTTGGCCTCCCAAAGTGCTGGGATTACAGGTGTGAGCCGCTGCGCCTGGCCTCTTATAGCTCATTTACTGGGTACTTACCATGTGCCATTCACTGCAGTTAAGCACTTTACATGAAGCTCTCAATCCTCAGGACTATAAGGAAAGATCAAATTTCTCCATTTCATAGATAAGTAGACTGAAGCTCTAGGAAGTTATGCAGCTTGGCTGAGGTCACCCAGCTGGAAGGTTGCCAGATTCAGCAAACAGACATATAGGAAGCCCAGTTAAATTTGCATTTCATATAAACAATGAATACTTTTTTAGTATTGCATGTCCCAAATATTGCATGCCTTATTTTATCTGGCAACCCTTCCCAGATGATAAGTAGTAGAATGTGGCCTAGAATCCAGGTCTCCTGATTCCCTGACCTTCCAGTGGGAGGACTAGGGAGTATTGCATGGAATTCTTTGGAAAGGAAAGAAACCCCTTGTACTAACTCTTGGACTCCACCTCAGACATATAGAACAGAATCTCTGGAGGTCAAGCCTAGGAATCTGCACTGGTGTTTGTTTGTTTGTTTGTTTTTTAGATGGAATTTCGCTCTGTCGCCCAGCCTGGAGTGCAGTAGGGTGACCTTGGCTCACTGCAGCCTCCACCTCTCGGGTTCAAGCAATTCTCCTGCCTCAGCCTCCTGAGTAGCTAGGATTACAGGTGTCCACCACCACACCCGGCTAATTTTTGTGCTTTTAGTAGAGATGAGGTTTCACCACGTTGGCCAGGCTGGTCTTGAACTCGAACCTCAGGTGATTCGCCTGCCTCGGCCTCCCAAAGTGCTGGGATTACAGGCGTGAGCCACCGCACTCAGCCGGAAGCTGCACTTTTTAACAAGTATCCTCACCTTCAAACCCCTACTCCCCAAGGATTTTTCTTGAACATTGAATTTTGAGAGTACTTTTGTCTCTATGCAGCTTGTAGGTAGAGAAGCCCATATTCAGCTGTCCTGTGGCTTCCAATATTCCTAGTATGCTTTTATTTTTTCGAGACAGAGTCTCACTCTGTCGCCCAGGCTGGAGTGCAGTGGCAAGATCTCAGATCACTGCAACCTCCACCTCCCAGGTTCAAGTGATTTTCCTGCCTCAGCCTCCTGAGTAGCTAGGATTACAGGCGCATGTCACTACACCTGGCTAATTTTTGTATTTTTGTGGAGATGGGGTTTCACCATGCTGGCCACGCTGGTTTCAAACTCCTGACCTCAGGTGACCTGCCCGCCTTGGCCTCCCAAGGTGCTGGGATTATAGGTGTGAGCCACCGTGCCCAGCCCCTAGTATCCTTTTTACATTCATTCAGTCATCCATCCATAAAACTCCTTGACAGATATTTATTTGATATCCTTGACAGATATTTATTGTTTGAAGGCTTGTCCTGCCAGCCAGGGATAGAAAGGAGAATTGGAGTCAACCGGAGCCCTTGAGGAGCTTCTGTTCCACTGCAGGACACTGACAAGAAAACACACACAATAGGAATACAGGGGGTGTTGGGTTGGACAGCCCCATAGGGGCTATGACAGGATTTGCTTCAGAAGCAGAGGGGGCAGAGTGGGAGCGGTCAGTTGCAAATTTTAGGGGATTTGCTTCTGTGGAGTCTTGAAAGGCCAATAATTGTGTTTTCCTACCAAGGGGGGAACAAACGATAATAGATATAAATTTTAGACAGTGGTTACAATTTGCAATAAGAAATGAACTTAAATGGGCCAGGTGCAGTGGCTCATGCCTGTAATCCCAACACTTTGGGAGGCTAAGGAGGGAAGATCACTTGAGCCCAGGAGTTCAAGATCTGTCTGAGCAACACAGTGAGACCCCATCTCTACAAAAAATATAAAAATTAGCTGGACGTAGGCCGGGCGCGGTGGCTCAAGCCTGTAATCCCAGCACTTTGGGAGGCCGAGACGGGCGGATCACGAGGTCAGGAGATCGAGACCATCCTTGCTAACACGGTGAAACCCCGTCTCTACTAAAAAGTACAAAAAACTAGCCGGGCGAGGTGGCGGGCGCCTGTAGTCCCAGCTACTCCGGAGGCTGAGGCAGGAGAATGGCGTGAACCCAGGAGGCGGAGCTTGCGGTGAGCAGAGATCTGGCCACTGCGCTCCAGCCTGGGTGACAGAGCCAGACTCCGTCTCAAAAAAAAAAAAAAAAAAAAAAAAATTAGCTGGACGTGATGGTGCACTCCTGTGGTCCCAGCTACTCAAGAGGCTGAAGTGGGAGGATTGCTTGAGCTCTGGGAGGCAAGAGGTTACAGTGAGCCATGATTGTGCCACTGCACTCCAGCCTGGGCAACAGAGTAAGACCCTGTCTCAAAAAATAAAAAATAAAAATACGGGGGGCCGGGCGCAGTGGCTCACACCTGTAATCCTGGCACTTTGGGAGGCCGAGGCAGGTAGATCATGAGGTCAAGAGATCGAGACCATCCTGACCAACATGGTGAAACCCCATCTCTACTAAAAAAAAATACAAAAAATTAGCTGGGCGTGGTGGCACATGCCTGTAGTCTCAGCTACTCAGTAGGCTGAGGCAGGAAAATTGCTTGAACCTGGGAGGTGGAGGGTGCAGTGAGCCGAGATCGTACCACTGCACTCCAACCTGGGGGACAAGAGCAAGACTCCATCTCAAAAAAATAAATAAATACATAAATAAATAATGAAATAAACATACAATTTAAAAATGCAAATGAAAAGCTGGGCATGGTGGTTCATGCCTGTAATCCCAACACTTTGGGAGGCTGAGGCAGGTGAATCACCTGAGGTCAGGAGTTTCAGACCAGCCTGGCTAACATGGGGAAACCCCACCTCTACTAAAAATACAAAATATAGTGGGGCGTGGTGGCGCATGCCTGTAATCCCAGCTACTCTGGAGGTTAAGGCAGGAAAATCGCTTGAACCCAGGAGGCGGCAGTTGCAGTGAGCCGAGACCACGCCACTACACTCTAGCCTGAGCAACAAAGCAAAACTCTGTCTCAAAAAAAAAAAAAAGTAAACGAAAGAGAGTGAGAATGTAGGCTCTGGAGCCAGACATCCTGGTTACATCCAAGTTCCCCCACTTACTAGCCCTATGACCATGTCCACGTACCCCACCCCATCCTTTCCATGCCTCAGTTTTGTCTTCTGTGAAACCGGGATGATCATATTCTCTTCCTCATTGGTTGGGTGTGCAGGTTAAAGGAAATAATCTATATAAAATGCCTCATGCAGCTCCTACTTAGTAAGGTTCAATAGAGGTTAACATTAACAAGTTTCCTCTCTTTACTACACCTTCCCTGCAGCCTACAAATGTGCTGTAACAACTTTCCATCCTTGATCCTGGATCCTCCTCTTATTACTGACACATTACCTGTCCCCGTTTGGGGCACAACTCTTTGAAAGAATTGTCTGTGATTCCCATTTCTATTTTCTCACCTCCCTGTTTCTCCTGAACCCACTCCATGGAACCTGCTCTTGTCAAGGCCACTGATAAACTTCATATTCATTTCCAGTGGGCAATTCTCAATCCTTACCCACAGCCTTTCAGGAACATTTGACACAGCTGATCCACCCTTGCTTCGTTGTCGTCTTCTTTTTTTTTTTTTTAAATTTAAGAGACGGGATCTGGCCAGGAGCGATGGCTCACACCTGTAATCCCAGCGTTTTAGGAGGCCAAGGCGGGTGGATCACGAGGTCAGGAGTTCGAGACCAGCCTGGCCAGCATGGTGAACCCCCATCTCTACTAAAAATAGAAAAATTAGCCGGGCGTGGTGGCGCATGTCTGTAATCCCAGCTATTCAGGAGGCTGAGACAGGAGAATCCCTTGAACCCGGGAGGCAGAGGTGGCAATGAGCTGAGATCACACCATTGCACTCCAGCCTGGGTGACAGGAGTAAAACTCTGTCTAAAAAGAATACATCTCTAATACTTTTCACTTCCTCTATTGCAAGTACTAAGGTCTCTCAACCTTAGGACTATTGTCTTTTTTTAAATTTTATTTTTGAGACAAGTTCTTACCCTGTTGCCCAGGATGGAATGCAGTGGCACAATCATAGCTCACTGCAGCCTCCAACTCCCAGGCTCAAGTGATCCTCTTGCCTCAGCCTCCCTAATAGCCTGGACTACAGTTGCTTGCTACCAGGCTCAACTAATTTAAAAAAGAAATGAGGTCTTGCTTTGTAGCCCAGGCTGGTATAATGCTCTTGGCTTCAAGCAATCCTCCACGTTGGCCTCCAAAAGTGCTGGGATTACAGGCATGAATCACTGTGCCCAGCCACCATTGACATTTTGGTTTTTGGTTTTGGTTTTTTTTGGAGACAGAGTCTCGCTGTATCCTCCAGGCTGGAGTATAGTGGCATGAACTCTGTTCATGGCCACCTCCGCCTCCCAGGTTCAAGTGATTCTCATGCCTCAGCCTCCCAAGTAGCTGGGATTATAGGCACCTGCCACCAAGCCCAGCCACTTTTTGTATATTTAGTAGAGATAGGGTTTCACCATGTTGGCCAGGCTAGTCTTGAACTCCTGAGCTCAGGTGACCTGCTCTCCTTGGCCTCCCAAAGTGCTGGTATTACAGGCGTGAGCCACTGCGCCTGGCCCACTATTGACATTTTGAACCAAGTAATTCTTTGTCATGGGGAGTTGTCCTGTGCATTATTGTAGGATACTTTGCAGCACCCACTAGAAGCCAATAGCATCCCCGATTTATGACAACCGAAAATGTTCAGATATTGAACAAATGTCCTTGGCTGGTAGGGAGAGTTGGGGAGAGGTATGTGGAGAAGCTAGAGCAAAGTCACCCTGGTTGAGAGACACTTCTCTACAGCTCTGTACCATTCTATAGTACACCAACCTGTCCCTTTCTATAGTCCCAACCATGACCCTCTCTTACCTGAAATACCAGAATAGCTTCCTATCTGGTTTCCCTACCTCCATTCTAGCTCTCCATACAGCAGCATCCAGGGTGAGCCTTTTAAATCATCAACCAAATTTTGTGACTCTTCTGTTTTTAACCCTCAATGGCTTCCTGTAACAATAAAGATTCAAATTTTTATGATAGTGTGCAAGACTCTACATGACCTGGTGCTTATGCATTTCCTATCACTCTCCCCTTGTTCATTGCACTCCGGTCATGCTGGCTTCTTTGCTCTTCCTTGAACATCTCAAAAATAATCCCTCCTTTGGACATTTGCATTTGCTGTTCCCTTTGTTTAAAATGCTCTTCCCTCAGAATCTGCATGGCTCCTTCCTTCACTTCACTCAGGTTGTTTGTTCGTGTGTGTGTTTGTTTGAGATGGAGTCTCACTTTGTTGCCCAGGCTGGAATGCAGTGGTGCGAGCTCGGCTCACCGCAGCCTCTGCCTCCCGGGTTCAAGCCATTCTCCTGCCTCAGCCTCCCAAGTAGCTGGGACTAGAGGCGCTCACCACACCTGGCTAATTTGTATATTTTTAGTAGAGAAAAGGTTTCACCATGTTGGCCAGGCTGGTCTTGAACTCCTGACCTTATGATCCGCCCACCTCGGCCTCCCAAAGTGCTGGGATTACAGGTGTAAACCACTGCACCAGGCCTCATTTAGGTTATTTAAAACCTCCTCGGAGAGTCCTTCCCTGACCACCCTATCCCAAGAAGCACCTCCACCATCATCCTCTCTCCCCATATGTTGGGTGATGGACATGTTGACCCACAGCCCAGATTCCCTTTCAAGGCAGGACTTGTTGCCCCAGCAGCTGGGAGTGCCGTAAGCAGACAGCCTTCAGCTATCAGCTCCTTTGAGAATTGCCTCAGCTACAAGAGAGAATGTGCCCAAGGTTACACCCTTTGCAAGATATCCCATGCCCAGTGACTGATTGGGGTGGAATAGAAAGGAGGGCCACTGTGGCCCAACAGGAAGTAACTGAGATGGGCCATATCCACTCTGGTGCTCCCCATGGGGTCGGCTGAGGCTGTAGTGGGGCCTGCCTCTCAGCTTGATTCCTCCCTCTGCCCAATCATGCTTCCTTCATCTCCCTACCAAGATGCAATCTCTATGGTCATTGAGCATGATAAGCATTGTCTCAGGGTGTGGGTCCAGTGGACCCTACCTGTGACACCCACTGTACTTTTCTTAGCACTATCTGATTTATATTTAATATCGTTTTGTATCTGCCTAAGGTCTGTGAAGGCAGATACTTTGTCTTGAAACTGCTATATCTCCAGCACCGATGCCTGGCACATACAGAGTAGTTGCTCAGTAAATACTTTTTGTTTGCTTTTTTGTTGTTTTGTTTTGTAGAGACAGGGTCTTGCTATGTTGCCCAGGCTGATCTCAAACTCTTGGCCTCGAGCAGTCCTCCCACCTCAGCCTTCCAAAGCACTGGGATTATAGGCGTGGCCACCACACCCAGCCAGGTCAATAATTTTTTTTTTTTTTTTTTTTTTTTTTGAGACGGAGTCTCGCTCTGTCGCCCAGGCTGGAGTGCAGTGGCGCAATCTCGGCTCACTGCAAGCTCCGCCTCCCGGGTTCACGCCATTCTCCTACCTCAGCCTCCCCAGTAGCTGGGACTACAGGCGCCCGCCACTGCGCCCGGCTAATTTTTTTCTATTTTTTAGTAGAGACGGGGTTTCACCATGGTCTCGATCTCCTGACCTTGTGATCCGCCCGCCTCGGCCTCCCAAAGTGCTGGATTACAGGCGTGAGCCACCGCGCCCGGCCGCCAGGTCAATAATTACTGAATGTTGAACGAATCATCACTGTTGCCGGTCGAGGTGGCTCATACCTGTAATCCCAGCACTTTGGGAGGCGGAGGCAGTCGGGTCACATGAGGTCAGGAGTTCTAGACCAGCCTGGTGAATATGGCGGAACCCCATCTCCACTAAAAATACAAAAAAATTAGCCAGGCATGGTGGCACATGCCTGTTATCTCAACTACTTGGGAGGCTGAGGCACAAGAATCGCATGAACCTGGGAGGTGGAGGTTGCAGTGAGCCAAGATCACACAGCTACACTCCAGCCTGGGCGACAGAGCAAGACTCCATCTCAATTAAAAAAAAAAAAGAATTATCACAGTCATTACCTTACTACTGTTGGGGCTCAGAAAATAATACCCCAAAGTAAGGCACTTTGGCATGCCGATACTTTGAACTGAAAGATATTGGAAGGACCTCAAAAGCAACGTCTCTTCTCTTCTCCTGTACTTCTTTCTTCTGCTTCCCTTCCTCTCCCAAGGCAGGCCATAGAAACTAGAACCCTTCTTCTCCAAAGCCAGCCATAAAACCTAGAAATAGGACTTTAACCTTCCTCCATCCTTCTGTGTAGAAGCTGGCCATAAAATTATCTGACCTACCTTGTCTGAAAATAGATCATAAGACCTTCATTTCAGAAGGGGCCCTGCCCTAAACCCAGGAGAAAGGAATGCCATACAAACAGGCCAAGAAGAATCTGAACACAGGCCCTGCTGGGTTTCCCCACTCAGTCCGTTACTATTAGATCATTCCCTTTCTGTCTAATCATGTTTCAACACAGCTGTCATGCTTCATTGAATCTAAGCATAAAAACGAACAGTTTTTGGCTGGACGCAGTGGCTCATGCCTGTAATCCCAGCACTTTGGGAGGCTGAGGCATGTGGATCATGAGGTCAGGAGATCAAGACCATCCTGGCTAACACGATGAAACCCCGTCTCTACTAAAAATACAAAAAAAAAAAAAAAAAATTTAGCCAGATGTGGTGGTGTGCACCTGTAGTCCCAGCAACTCAGGAGGCTGAGGCAGAAGAATTGCTTGAACCAGGGAGGTGAAGGTTGCAGTGAGCCAGATCGTACCACTGCACTCTAGCCTGGGCCACAGTGCAACACTTCGTCTCAAAAAAAAAAAAAAAAAAAAAAAAAAAACAGTTTTTTTCTTGAGTCTTTGGGTCTTCATTTCTGAAGGCTCCCATGTCACATACAATTTTGATTAGATAAATCTGATATGCGTTTAGATGGGCATGGTGATGTGTGCCTGTAATCCCAGCTACTGGGAAGGCTAAAGCGGGAAGATGGCTTGAGCCCAGAAGTTCAAGGCTGCAATGAGCCATGATCACGCCACTGTACTCCAGCCTAGACAACAGAGCAAGACCTTGTCTCTAAAACAAAAAATTAAAAGAGAAAGTTATAAATTTCTTATGTCTTCTCTTGTTAACCAGTCTTTTGTTATAGGAGTGGTGGCCATGACCCTTCTGATAGGGAGGAAAGTTATTACACCTTTCCACCCTTCAGTACTCCAAGATTACTCTATGGTTAGGGAGTCCTTGGGTTATATCTAATATAAAGGCTCCAACTGTTTTTTGTTTTTTGTTTTTGAGACAGAGTCTCGCTCTGTTGCCCAGGTTGGAGTGCAGTGGCATGATCTCAGCTTCCCAAGCAGCTGAGACTACATGCTTGCACCACCACACCCAGCTAATTTTTGTTTTTGTTTTGTAGCAATGAGGTCTTGCCATGTTGCCTAGGCTGGTCTCCAACTCCTGAGTTCAAGGAATCCTCCTGTCTGAGCCTACCAAAGTGCTGGAATTACAGGCATGAGCCACCACGCCCAGCCAAGGCTCCAACTTTTTAACAGACTTGCAGGGGCCATAATCTTTCCAAAATGATTCCAGGGTGGAAACAGGCCAAGATGGTTTCAGATCTAGAGGACTTGACAGCAGGGCTCTGCTCAGCTGACAACGCTGTCCCTCTTGCTCACAAATTTAATAGGCTGTTTTCACTTGGGGAAGATGCCACCGTCCTTTGAACTAGCTACACCGCAGGCATTTTGACCTGGTCAGCCCACAGGATAAATTTTAGATCAAGCAGCTATTCTTGAGCAGTTTTCCACACTTTCATGTTTTTAAAGAACATTCACATTGCTCAGGAATTTCTTCTTTTTTTTTGCTCAGGAATTTCTTAGGATGGCCATTAGATGTGGTCACTTTATCATTCTAATTTTATATACAGGGAAACCTAGGTCAGAGGAGTAGCTTCATTCATCCCAGAAGTGTTTAGTGAACACCTTCTATGTGCCAGGCACTGGGCTGGTTATTGGAGGTTGACTAGGCAAGCTCCTTGGCTAGCAAGGGGAACAGACAGGTCCCACTCTGTCTATAACTGAGGTGTGAACCAAGAGCTTGGAGAACCAGAAGATAAAATGATTGCTTCTCTTTTAGAGTATAACCTCTGAAAAAATTTTATCGTATAGGTAACATTTTAAAATACAAAACACAGGCCAGGCACGGTGGCGCATGCCTGTAATCCCAGCACTTTGGGAGGCCGAGGCAGGCAGATCATGAGGTCAGGAGTTTGAGACCAGCCTGACCAACATGGTGAAACCCTGTCTCTACTAAAAATACAAAACTTAGCCAGGTGTGGTGGAGTGAGCCTGTAATCCCAGCTACTCAGGAGGCTAAGACAGGAGAATCGCTTGAACCCGGGAGGCGGAGGTTGCAGTGAGCCAAGATCCCGCCATTGCACTCCAGCCTGGGCGCCAGATTGAGACTCTGCCTCAAAAACAAAAACAAAAACAAAACACAGGCCAGGTGCAGTGGTGCATGCTGGTAATCCCAGCACTTAGGGAGAGTGAAGAAGGCAGATCGCTTCAGCCCAGGACTTTGAGACCAGCCTGGGCAACAAGGTGAAACCCTGTCTCTACAAAAAATACAAAAATCAGCTGGGTGCAGTGGCATGTGCCTGTAGTCTGAGCTACTCTGGAGGCTGAGGTGGAAGGATCGCTTGAGCCTGGCAGGTCGAGGCTGCAGTGAACAAAAACTACATCACTGCACTCCAGCCTGGACTACAGAGTGAGACCTCATCTCGAAAAAGAAGAGAGATTAAAAAACAAAACACTTAAACATACAGGCTCTTTGGTCAAACTGCCTTTTGCTCTCTCCATTCCTTGCATTCTGAATTCCTACAGATTGCAATCATCTTCAGTGGGTGCACACTTATGCACACACAAACATGCTTTTAAAAAACAAAATATGGAGCCTATCTTCTTTTAAACTTAGCCATATTTGGGATATATCCAAAGATGTTAATTGCAGCATTATATGTAATAGCAAGAGACTATAACCCACTAAAATGTCTGTCAATAGGAAACTAGATATATAGTTCCTCTGCAGAGACAGTCCCTGACTTATGATGGTCCAGTTTGACAATGGGTTTGTCACGAACTTAACAGTGGAAAAAAGTGATTACTTAAATCTGTGTATGCTGGCTGGGTGCAGTGGCTCATACCCACAATCCCAGCACTTTAGGAGGCCAAGGTGGGTGGATCACCTGAGGTCAGGAGTTCAAGACCAGCCTGGCCAACATGGTGAAACCCCATCTCTACTAAAAATA